AGGCAGCTCTGAATATTTCAATGATTTTACTGTTTAATTATTGAGGGGTGACTTCAAAAGTTAGTATAAAGTCATTGAACAAGTTGAAGATTAATAACATAAAAGGTATTATATGCTCAGTGTGGTCATATGAAAAGTAACTATTATTCAAAATGCATCTTTTCTGAAATTTATTCTGATACTGTTTACATGAAATAATAGTTAATGATAATAGAATCTTCCCCTACCTTGAGGGTATCACAGGGAAATCTCCTATCCGAGGGGTGATGTTTTTTTGTTGTCTAACCCGAGGCTATGCCGATGGTTAAGACAACCAAAAGCATCAGCCCGAGGGTGGGAGATTTCCCTGTTACACTGTCCTCAAGGTAGGGGATGATTAGTTTTTCCCCATCCTATTATTTCAGTCACAACTCTACCGACAGTAGTCTACCATGCTTGTAAACAAAACCACATGTGGGGTATGAATATCACACATTTTAATGACGTCACAATTGAACACGTGCTAAGCGGATCTTTCCCAACTAAAACGGGAGAAACATCTGTGAAGGGTGGGAGAAAATAAAAGCATCTACTGACCCCAAAAGTTGTGACATGATAACGTAATAAAGGTTTGTATAGGAACCTTTCCCTTGTGCTATGTTTCTACATATTGACAAGAATTTTCATTCCTTTGACCTCAAAAGTACGCCTGGTGTGTTCTAAATGAACGAAATAGCCATATAGTGCAGTAGATATTTACTTTATTTGGCTTTTTGCAGCAACAAACTAAATTTTCAATAGGTATTGCCATACTTCGTATTGTTCAGGAATTCTTTTTCTGGTATACTGAATATATTACCAATTTATTTAAGTGCAATTCCATTTGTGTATTACGGTCATTTTTCTAGTGGTAATTGTTCGTCACATGGAACGCCTCGAGCTACTATTTAATTGTATTAAACTCTGTCACAGGCTATGGTGTCGGTTACGACGATATCGTGTTCCACGGGGATGTTGAGGCATTGAAGTTCGTAGCTTTCTATACCAGGTTAGCTATGAATATCTTAAACTTAATGAAATATTGATTCGGTAATAATATTCCATGGGGATGTAGTGGCCTTGAAGGTCGTAGCTTTCTATACCAGGTAAGATATGAGTATCTTAAACTTAATGAAACATTGATTCGGTAATAATATTCCACGGGATGTAGAGCCTTGAAGGTCGTAGCTGTCTATACCAGGTAAGCTATAAATGTCCTAAACTTAATGAAACATTGATTCGGTAATTTGGGAAATGTGTCATCAAAAAGATAATAATGAAAACCATGCATGTAGCGTGACTATCGTTGGTATGGGCATGCTGACAACGAAGACGCAACAATTTTCATCACCGTAGTCATGTATATATAATGGATACCGTTTGGCACATACCTATTGGGCAATTTTAATATTGTCAGGTACATACTGGGAATTAATGTTTGATACGGGCCCTTAAAACAATGTCAAATAGGCAAGGTATTTTGGTGTTTTCATTAACATGTACATTTAATCAAATCAGGTAACACTGGCAGCCTCACCAATTAATGTTGTTATCCAAATCAGGTAACACTGGCAGCCTCACCAATCAATGTTGTTATCCAAATCAGGTAACACTGGCAGACTCACCAATCAATGTTGCTATCCAAATTTCAGTTGTATATGTATGTGAAAGATTATCATTGGTTAGTATTCTGTCACTAACGGATTAACGGTAATGTTTTCGGCGAAATATCAACGAAAAAAGTCATTAGATTAAGTCCACTGTCCCCTGATGGCTACTAGTCGTCTGTAAAAGAAATCGCTTTATTTCAGGGACGACGACGTGGTTGCAGTAGCAAGTTTGAGCTTTGACCCATTGGTATCCCAAGCTGCTGAGTTGATGGCCAAAGGTCAAAAAATTAAAAAGACCGAGATTCAGTAAGTTAAGACCAGTGATATAATGTATGTACACAATCGTCAATATGTGTTTTATTTATTTTTGATTTTTTTTCTTCTACAAACGGCACCGTTATATCTTGACTGTTATTTTGATATTTTTCACTAATATTTACCAATCCGCTCGATCTGCTTCTATGATGCAATATCAAAGTGAAAGTAAATCTAATAAAATATATCATCTTACAACCAATTTTAAATTATGAAATACCAAGCCGATTTTCCTAATCCTTATATTAGTTTGCCTATGTTGCCGAGTTTTCAAATAAATACATTTTAAATTCAAAGAAATTCCCTCTTACGGTATTGATGATGTCATTCACAAAGTTTTACGAGTCATGAATGGCGGATTTTACTTCAAATATTAGTATTATAAGATATGTGTGTAACTTCCTGGGACCTCGACGTTGTGAAATAAAAGGATGACAGAAATTATATCTAGATAGTCCTATTCCGTCTATGCGTATTGCAGAGTTATCTTCTCTTGTGAGCAGGTATTGATTGTTACGTCATTTGTTTGTGAGAGTAACGTCATCAATTTTTGAGAAAAAGACGTAATTTTCTCACACAAACCAATGACGTAACAATCAATACCTGCTCACAAGAGAAGATAACTATGCAATACGCATAGACGGAATAATAATAATAATTAGTATTTGTATACATAATTAGAGGGATACATCGAAGGCAGATACTGATATAGTTTTCTAATAGTTTCGATTTATCATATTGCTTATATATATTAATAATATTGATAAAAGATATGTACCTTAAACAGTGTAATGTATGATTTTACATGAACGTGTCCCTTATAACACATTGGATGAAGTCTGGAGGACCATTCTAAATACTTTTATTTTATTTTTCAGAGAGAAGCCAGATACTTGAGTTGACAGACTGCGCAAACTCTAATTTTCAGACGAGATTAAATACGAGTTTTAAAAAGTTGAACAAATTAGTTAGAATTTTGTGTAATCACAAATATTGATTTCAAATAAGATGTAGAGGGATTAAGAATAATCTGCAGACAAAAATTTAAAAATTAACTATGTATTTACACAAATATTGAAGGTAAATCAGATGTTAATGGATTGAATATAATGGTCTGCAGGCAAAATAAAATATGCAAAAATCGTCGAAAATTTCTTGATATTTCTTAAATATCCCATTTTTAAATCGTTAAAATAATTGGGGCTTAGAAAAGTCGGCCCTGTTACAGTATGTTGATAATTGTTAATAATTATTTCAGGAATGTTTTTAAATTTGCGTCAGGAAAAATTAGGAAATGTATATGTATGAGTGTGTTTTGAAGCAAGACATTTTCATGTTTATAGACTATCTCCGTGAATAAATGCCAAAATACAAATCACGCTAAATGCAATAGAAATTGATAACTTTAAATGTATGTGTGTGTTTGAAGCAAACATTGGTTATTATTTTATAGACCATCCTCGTAAAGAACAACAAAAATACAAATCAAATTATATATACGTAATTGACAGTAAGAGTGTTTGGCCATTGACTAGTGACTGTTTATTGACCCGCAACTGTCAGATTTAAATAGTATGGTGTGTAAATTTGCCTTGATGGCGTTCAATGAGCACAGATAGTAGTGGTCCACTAGCATGGAATTCTATAGTTTTAATGAGAATATATCGAAATGTACATTCATTATAGACTTTCAAATAAATTTTGCTTTTCTATCAATGTTGTCTGAGTAATATGCTTTATATAAAATGTATGTACATGCTATCTGCTATATATCCCTGTACTTACAAGGGTTTGTTTGAGGTATTGTTACATTATCTCGCCACCATATATCATTGTAAAAAATCGTGCTCGTCTATATGTATCGCTACATTACTATATCTTGTGAAAGAATAGGACATATGAACGCAATAATATGGTCAGTCCAGTGACTTGCTTTTTCACAAGTCAGTGTGCCAAGTGTAACCAAACATGAAGCGATGACCGTTATCTCACCATAATATCATGTCATTAGAAAATGACAGACCTGTTTGAAATTACCAACTCATAAATAATCGCAGCTCTCCTTTTGTTTCCAAAGTAGTTTGGACTAACTTGGATCTCGACATTTTGAGCGACACGACAAGTCCTCGAAGGACGAAACAGCTACATGGTGCAGTGCCATTCATTTTTGGCGTATTGGACCTATTAGGAGGCACGGTTGTCTAGTGGTAAGACGCCGGGCTCGTGGCCGAAGGGTGGCGGGTTGGAGTCGCGTCACGGTATTGTGTTGTATCTTTGAACAAGATACTTTACTCTGCTTGTTCCAGTCTACACAGCTGTAAATGAGTACGTGGTTGGGCAGTGCTAGAATTGATGAATGCTTGCTGTGAGCGCCGAAACTGCAGCACCGTCTGTATGCTCCCCAGGGAGTTGAGAAAGATATTGGCTGGTTGTAAAGGCCCTTTAACCACAGATAACAATTTGTGAACCGCTTTGAGACGACCTACGAACTAGGTTGTGATAAAGCGGTATATAAGAACCTCTGTGGCTTATTTTGATCTTTTGCGATGGCATTTTATATATTTTGTTCGACGTTTGACGCTCTGGTGTGTTTATGAGAAGATTGTGCTTTACTTTGTCGTTATGTGGTGACATTGTGGTATTGTGACTTGTTCTACTTCTAGTTCTTCGGTAGTGGAATCAGAGAAATACGCTTCTGGAAATATTCTTTCAGGTCACCTGTTTTCCGCAGTTGTTCGGTTACTTCACTTTGAACCCGTCAGATCAGGCCAAATACGATCCGCTACTGTTCTAAATGACCTTTAGGAGTTGTGATACGCCTGTTCCACCCCTTTTGTTCACGTTTTAGCTGTTCTGTCTAAACATGTACAAACCTTACAAGAGATATTGATTTAAAGTGGTGGTGATGATCCCTCCCAGGAGATATTCAAACTGCCGATCGTTGGAACAAAATAATGTTGCCAAGCAAAACTTCGATGCTTAAAGCTCTGTATCTTAAATTTTGCTAAAAACTAGACATTTGAGTGATCATAAAAAATACAAAGAACGTTGTAGGTTTAATCATAAGTTTATTATTCTTAAACGATACATCAATAAATATGGGCATACGAGATACACCAGTACATGTTCATACAATGGCGAAAACTGACTAGAACGAATATTTGTACAAATGTGTAATTATGGATGTGATGTAGATGAATGAGTATAATTGTGGGGACAGGACACAAGAGATTGACGTTCTATACATATTGTCGGGATATAGTGTCTTCAGTCGGAGTATAACCTAAACACGTCGCGTTCGACGGGAGTAATAAAGTAGAGACAGGAAACCGTGTCCATAAAACAATAACTCCACACGTGTAGACAGCAGGAGTAGGTAGGGGGAAAGGAACCCATTTGGTTAACGCACACAAATAGAGACGTAACATATAGTATAAGACCGGAGGAGGGTCACAAGGTCGGATCACACTGAGAGCTAGGGTGAACAATGACAGAACAAAGGTCACAAAGACAGTAGAAGGTAAAAAAGACAGAGAAATATGTAAAATAAATTATGAAATAACGTTGATTGCTCCGACATTGCAGAATACATTCTTCATAGTAAACAATTTATACAAAGAATGTATATCAGTATGTAAACATATGTGTACAAGAGTGAGTCAATGGAATCCCCTATATCAGTGCATATCCACGGAAGCAAGATAACAGTTGCATCTATTTTCCGTGAGATGAGGTTCATTTCCATACTGAATACACAATCACAAAAAAGAGCATGGTTACCTTACACAGAGTTGGTGACATGATATTGAAGTAACAAAGTGTGAACTTTCTTCCCAGTGGAGGTTTTCAAACTAGCTTTCTTAAAATCTCAAAACAATGCAGATTTCTGCAACTGAAGTACTACAACCTCCAAAATTTATTACAAAGAATTTAAATAAAATGTTTCTTTTAACTTGAATTGATGCTGTAGTAAAGGACATTATAATTTGTCTAATAATAATAGAGTTAAAAGTTCGTTTTCATGATTTTGTCCTGTTGTGTAAAGGCATCCCTTAAAACAAATTGGGATTACATAATTAACATCAGTAACAATAACAATATCAACAACATAATTATCCCTATAGCACTAGGCAAGTAGAGGTATATAGCACTGTGCCATCAGTCTCGTGATTTAAAAACTAGGAGAGTCTTCGGTGCGAGTCATTTATGAATATTATGAATCCAAGGGGAATAACTCATTACAGAAGAATTTGAGGCACAAAATTTCTTCATATGATGTTTACTTGTTTAGAATTTTACATCTTTGCCACAGCTAACATAAGGTCAATAACAATGGTCAGTACGTGATAATTTTACAATGATGACAAAGAATACAACTTAAGTTCAACATATCTGTATACTAGGTTTTTAATACTGAAATGCTCTGATATAACCCAACAGTCATCAGTATGGGTACATAGGAATGCAGACAGATGCAATATCTTTATCAGCTGAGTATTATAGTCAGGACCTGGATTTATTATCTACATGTAGATAGATAGCTGCTATCATGCATATCAGAACTGACTTGCGTCATAGTGAAAGAATCTTCACATTACATAAAACACTTCCTGTGGAGATCATTGAAATGATTAACATGTGTAAGTGGGTTTTATAATGCATGATGACGTGAGTGTATTCACAAAATGTGTACCAATTTTTGGTTTCTGATGGAGCAACATTTAACAATCATGCTTGCATATACGCCTAGCTGAGTTATCCCCCTTTATATCTCCTAATTGAGTTATCCCTCTTTTTATCTCCAAATTGAGTTATCCCTCTTTATATACTTTCAATGGATCTAATACAGTACATGCCTCTCCCACCCTCTCATGAGTCTGTAGCTATTACTTTTTTATAATATATTACAAGAACTCCTTGGATTTTCACATATCTTATTCACTCTCCAAATCTATATCACAATACAACTCTGGATCATGATCAACTAGCTTCCATAACACTTTATGAAAGAATATATTTCGGTTTACTTGGTTTTCACAAAATTTTCATCGAATTCTTTTAAAGTTGATGTTATGGATTTACACATTTTTGTTAAAAAAGGTGCAAAATATAACGAAATTGTTGCTAATTAAAAGTACATAAATGTACCCTAGTGGAGTCTCCAGTCACTTTCAAAACAAACAGACGAAGTGGCTGGATTTCTATACAGCTAGATTATGGGACAATTTTATACTCTATCTGTTCCCTAACAGTTAACACTGGTTGGATACTTAGGATGGGAGGTCGCTGGATTAACGAGGCTCAGGTATGTACAGTATCTGGATTGGTTTTGCTGAAGCAGCCCGACTTATTCACTTTGGTATATGGCACATTGGATACACGAAAACAAGACACAAAGTGATCTGTAGGACTGTTTCACCTATAGACTATGGATCCATCACAAAAACATCACTGTTAAAGCGTCACATCCACCGTCCCTGATATTGACTTATCAAACTACAGTCTAAATCTGCTGTCTATGAGATTATCAAAGTCAGGTAACTCATTATTGATTTACATCAAACGTCATAACGTCCCATAGTGATGGTCTTTCGCTCCAGTATATGGTCACTCGTCACAGTGTATAGTGACTCACAGACACCAACAGTTCCTTGTGTGAAGAAAGACTGTTGTCCATATAGTGACTTGGACCCTCAATGTTTGGTTAACGGCTACCTTGTGATATCACAGGGTTCCAGAGTGAAAAAAGTAGACCATCATTTATACCTTGTGTGGTTACACACCGGGTCTGATCACCCAGCACTATACTGTCTAGCTGACAGAACCAGTCAAGATCTGAGATCATATTAAGTGATAATACATTGTTATACAACTCAGGGACAGATGAATTTGTTGTTGTCCACCTTGACCTTGATGACAATACAATCGTCCTTGATGTAATCTCGGGACTTGAGCACATCATGTGACACAAACTTTGGGTAACCAAACCCCAGTGTGTCCTTGTCTGCGTCCTTGAGAGGTTTCTGGAAGTGTTTCCAGGTCGGGTCGGGAGTGAAGCTCTCGCAGATGTTGCTGCGTTTATCGGGACTTGAGCACTGGTCAAACAGACTGAATGAGATGGGCAGGGAGAATGGCCAGTCTAAGATATTGTCATAATCACCGGGGAGGATCTTAATGTACACCGACAAGTTTTTACCCTCCCCTGCTCCGTTACCATTCAGAAACACAGATGCCACCATCTTGTATCCATAGCGGGAGGTGTAGAAGGGCTCGCTGACAATCTCCACACTTTTATACACAGACTCAAGGAACTTTTGTTTGTAGTTTGTTATGCGCCATATGAAGGTGCCATCTGTGACGTGTGACAGTGAGTAAAGGGCATCGCACAGCTGGGTTATCTCCTCCTGTTGACGCTGAGACAGGTCACACATTAACTGTAGGTGGTGCTTCATGTTTTCTTCCACATGTTTGTCCATGCTAAATCTGGGGCACTGTAAACAGCACAAATTGTAGTATTAAATGACAAAACAATCTTCAGCTATACACTATAAAATATTAAACTATACACCATAAAGGGCTCCAAAAATGTTTTATTTTAATCATTTGTTAATGTAATTATTGTAAATGATGGTCAGCCTGTCTGGGGTCGGTGTAGCTTCCAATGTAAGATAATATTTATTTCTGGGTCAAACATCAGGAATACTTTAACAATTTCTTCGTCAAACATTAGGAACACGTTGACAGTTATAATCTCAACATTCTTCATAGATAAACCACAAATATTTACCTTATGAGAACAGCCCGCCTTTTTGAAGGCACAGCTAACAGTTGCAGATGGACAGAGGGCCTGAACATGAACATCCAGATCCTCTCGTGCAATTTTGGTTGGGTCACAGCGGTTAGGACATGTGACTGGGTAGCGGGGACACTGGTACTGATGGGTCTGAAATAGCAAAGCAGTGGATAAAAATAGTTGAAATAAATGGTGACAGTCATTCTGAAACTGGGGATATACTTAAATCTTAAATGGAAAATAATAATAGTTAAACAAGGGAGAAACCATAGGAAAACTGGGTCCCAAATAAAGCTGAATAGGGTGGATAATTGTAAATAGGGAAAAAAATCAAAGTTAAACAGTGGATAAGAATGGTTGAAGTATATGGTGACAGTCATTCTGAAACAAGGGTCAAACTTAAACCTGAACTGGAAAATAATAATAGCTAAACAAGGATGAAAAAAATAGAAAAGCTGGGTCACAATCATAGCTGAACAGGGAAGATAATGCTTAACAGGGGTAATAATCAAAGTTAAACAGTGGAGGGTACAGCAGCTAAACAGGGGAGATAACCATATGTAATCAATTTGATAATGACAGATAAATGGGAAAAATCGTAGCCAATATTGGAAATAATCATTGGTTAACAGGGGAGAAGTTATGTATCAGAAATGATAGCTAAACAAAGGAGACACTCATAGCTAAACTGGGGATACAATGATGGATATACGGGGGATATATTCATATATAAACAAAGGAGACATTCATAGCTAAACTGGGGATACAATGATGGATGTACAGGGGATATATTCATATATAAACAAGGGAAACAATCCTAAAGGGGATAGTCATAGTTCCAAACAGAGATGATAAAGCCGAACAGTGGACCTTACATGTTGCTTAATCAAAGATAATCACAGCCAAAAAGGTAGATATCATAGTTAAACAAGGGAAATAAGCATAGTTAAACATGGCATACACTAACACAAAACTAAAATGATAAAATGAATAGGGAGAGGTAATTATAGCTTAATGGGGAGATAGTGATTGTAATACATTTGAGGTAATAATACTTCTTACAATGTATTATATATTTAATTGGACCCTACAATATATCGGGTAGGACGTACCTACAATATATCGAGTAGTATATTTAATTGGACCTACAATATATCGCGTAGTATATTTAATTGGGCCTACAATATGTCGAGTAGTATATTTAATTGGACCTAAACTATATCGCGTAGTATATTTAATTGGGCCTACAATATGTCGAGTAGTATATTTAATTGGACCTAAACTATATCGCGTAGTATATTTAATTGGACCTACACTATATCGGGTACTATATTTAATTGGACCTACAATATATAGGGTAGGACGTACCTACAATATATCGAGTAGTATATTTAATCGGACCTACAATATATCGGGTAGTATCTTTAATTGGGCCTACAATATATCAAGTAGTATATTTAATTGGACCTACAATATATAGGGTAGGACGTACCTACAATATATCGGGTAGGACGTACCTACAATATATCGGGTAGGACGTACCTGCAATGTTTCCTGTACAAAGTCCCTCTTGCAGTAGGAGCATTCTACGGTGCGTTTGTGACACTCATTCCTCATGTGGTTGTTGAGGAATCGCCTCTCTAGTCGCGCTCCACACTTGTTTTCACACCACATCACCTCACAGGGGCACTGACCAGAGTGTGTCTGTTAAAATAGAACATCATTTCTTATTAATGTTACGTCTGGGAACATCTCAGCACAACAATTATAAAGTAACAACTGTAAAATCATGCATTTTCAATATTCATTTCAGTCATGCTAAAACAAGATTTTGGAATACATTGACAGATTGTTAGTAATATTTAGGGAAAGATTAAGAAGGTTTAACTACATCAGGACAATGTAATTGGCTCCTGTAGTTCGAAAAAGTCACTTTTCTGTCCACAGTGTACGGCTATCTGACATAACCAATGAAACAACCTATATCAGCCAACCCCAAATGGATGCTTTTACAACATTTGTTTGAACTTTTCTAACATTCCCCCCTAGTATTACACCGTAATGAAGTAACTGCTGACATGGAATGTTTGGGTAATCTGTTACAAGAAATAAAATTAAACACAGATAAGTTTGATGCAAACATCCAGCTCGAGCCAAGCAGGATAATTGAGTTATCTTATAACTGATAACAAAGTTGTGCTGCAGGTTGTGTCAGCTACAGACATTCATGCTGGTTCTGACCGATACATCATGTATCTATAGCAAGGCTCTCCAAATAGATAGTAGCGATCAATTCATTTACACTTCTATCAAAGACTTGTTTCAATACTAACTAACTATAAATCCAATCTACAATGTAAACTAAACAACATCTTGTAATACTTACACTTGCTCTACATCCTTCCATAGCAATGCATTGAGAAGGCAAATACTTTATTAAGTTTGTCATCAATAGCAATGCGAGTTATAGGACCATAACAACATTTTCTAAAACAATCATTATTTATATTTCCATTTTGATTAAATATTGATTTTGATTGCTTAAATATAATTGTTTGTGCACCACCTACCCGTTCGTAAGTGTCCCCGGGCAGCTGTTGACTACAGAACTCGCAGACCACAAGTCTATTAGGACAGGAGTACTCCAGGTGGTCCTCCAGGGACAGGCGTGACAGGAGGGCGGGGCACTTGTTAGGGCAAGCTATGTTGTCATAGCAACACTGATCCAGATGAGACTGAAGGTTGTGCAGTTTGCCTACCCAACGGCACCCATCCTTGTTGTAGCGACATCGGATGAGGCTGTTCATCACCTCAGATGTAAGGTCATCATCCGGGTAGATCTGTAACAGCCAATCAAAATTCACCATGTATTACTTTTGTGTGAAAAACAAAAGTTTGAACTATATTACCTCTTTATTACGTGGTTTTATTTTATGTTGATCACATGACTATGATATTCTGCAGTGAATACCTGTACACCATGTCTTATATTTTGCTATTACCTCATGTAAAAAAAACACCTTTTGAGATATGATAATTAATAAGACAACAGGTATAATGTTAGGACATTGTGACATCACAACTGAAGCCTACTGAAAGTGTAACATTGAAGGTGCAGGGGAGGTCAGAGAAGGCATGTTGTTGTTTGTGATCTCTTTACAGTCCTGGTAATCAGATTTATGGAGCTAATTTTTAACCCTTTCACCCCTATGTAACTTTAGTAGACTCTACCATACATTGATCTGGACGAGTTCATTATGGTCTACAGTGGTGAACGGATAAAGGGTTATATCTGGCATTACTTTTAGACATTACGCAATCAGCATCTGCATTTACATATCACAGGACATAATTATAACAAATGTCATCATGTCCTTAATTCTGACCTTTCCACAGACTCATTAAATTCTTTGTAACAACTGCCTACATGTCATTCAGGCTGGCCTTTCCACTAATATATAATTACAGGTATTAAATAGATGGAGACTATAATACATGTACTGATTACTGCCTATGTAGAATAGAACGTCTCTCAAGTGTTGGTTGGTGATATCTACATGTAGTATCCCTCGTTATTCCCGTGTAGAGAACACAAAATGCTAATAGGATCATGTACCTGTGATGGAAAATGACAGATATGAAAATAACAACATTCTACAGTAGCATTAATTTAAAATTAAAATTACGATGTACCTGTGAAGTGTCTGTACATAACTCCAGACATGACAACATTCTGGACAGGTAAAAATTCCAGGTATGACAATTGAAATATTCTAGACAAGTAAAACTTCAAGTGTGACAACACTGCACAATGGTGAGGCTGTGGTGTAGCAGGGAGACAAGAGTTGCCAATCAGCAAAGTCATTATAATGATAATGTCAACCTGGATTGTATCCAAAAATCTCAGGTAATACCTCAGCTTGGCTGTTAATATACAGGAAGCAAATGTATTCAGTCTGACAGTCTCATTATAAATGCATCCTTGATCCCTAATGGCAGGAGCTGAATATCTCAAACATCATCTTCTAATATTACATCACAATCACCATAAAATATTCAAAGAATTTCCATTCAGTGTTCATCAATCTGACTTCATGTTTTATTCAGTGGAAGCTCCTGTCAAGACAGGAGGGTGGCACCAAGTGTTGGAGTCGGGTGACACAGGATATGTAGAAACCCTCTGTATAGGGAAGCATCTTGTAGTCAGGAAGAGAAACCAATACTTTGTGGGGTAGGAAACATCAGGGGCTGACTGTGATACTGTACAGTAAAGATCTGATTCAGCTGGGGGACCTGGGTAGCTCTAGGGGCGGACTGTGATACTGTACAGTAAAGACCTGATTCAGCTGGGGGACCTGGGTAGCTCTAGGGGCTGACTGTGATACTGTACAGTAAAGATCTGATTCAGCTGGGGGACCTCGGTAGCTCTAGGGGCTGACTGATACTGTACAGTAAAGATCTGATTCAGCTGGGGGACCTGGGTAGCTCTAGGGGCTGACTGTGATACTGTACAGTAAAGATCTGATTCAGCTGGGGGACCTGGGTAGCTCTAGGAAACACCCTGTTTCTATTAGGTATAAATTACTGCAATGAATTGGTTCTAGTCTCTTCCTCATTGTTACAACACTGGTTGATCATATCAACACAAAGATAATCGGATGATAGGGTCACACACACACACTAAGGAAACATCAAGAGCCTGGGGTAACCTAAACATTCCAATTTGATACCTGGTTATCTCCCCTGAAGTACAACTCTATGATAATGCAACCTCAAGCCGTAACATCATGTATTGTTTATCTTAAGTGTAATCTTGTAGGTTTAGGAACTTTGACAGGTGTATGATGAGCTATCTTGTATGTCTCCTTCTACAGGTGAAAATGGAAACATTATCACTCCATTTGTTTGTCTGTAACCTGACAAGTCAATTAGTTACAATACATCATAATGTTACATCAGTTATATATTATGTAACCATACAGCAACTGTACTTCCCATATAACTTTATCACTTCTTTGAGTACACAAAGTATACATATATAGGTGTCAACCTCTGAAACCTACAATGAGGGAGATCTCCCTCATTCCACATTTCCAATGAGGGAGATTCCCGAGAAAGTGTGTGAAATGCTACTAAAACTGCTTTGCTCAATTTATCTTTCCCTTTTTATGTATCAAAATAACTCCCCAGAGAATTCATTTGATTCAGACACACCTGTAATGATCATTACACACACACCTGTAATGATCATTACACACGCCCTGCAGCAACTAAGAGATCATTTGACCACAGGATGTAGATTTTGAGTTTGTGTGAGTTTGAACTTGAATGAGGGAGTTTCGATGGAGATTGGTAAATTTTGGTCAAACTGAGGGAGTCTCCCTCCTTATGAGGGAGGGTTGTCAGCTATATAACACATGAACCAGGTCTGTGTTTGAAAACTAGCAATAAAGTATAAATAATAAATTAACTGAACATGCCTCCTAATTTACAGAATTAATACTGGCATTACACTCCCAATACAATTAGTGTTCAACAAAAGCCAGGTATAAAGTCCGAAATAAAATAGATGATGCTTGAAATAACTGACAGACACTTTGATTTTTTCTTTTAGGTTTATCTATAATTATCTCATAAATTTTAATGACACTTGGAAACTTCATTCTAGAACGGATCCGGACCAGTACCTACTTACCATTGTCATGTTAATTTCTCTCGCCCTCCTGTCTACAGCAGTGCGCGACTGACAAATTGATTATTGATCAACATGTCTTCAACTAATACCTTTTAAATCCAAATATGCTTATGTGTAAATTATCAGAAAGGTTACTGCTTTCAAATAACAATTTAAATCTATAGTAATTAGCATTGGATTGATATTGTGTCCCAGCTGATGCCAGCCCCGTGAGTACAATGAGGAGTAAACACGACATTAATTAGACCCTATTATAAGATAATAGTAACTATTCTGTCCACAGACAAAGGTGAGTCATAGAGAAAACTTTCAGGTAGGTCAGTCAGTAGGTATATACACCTGTGTAGCCAGGTATAATAGTGTATTGGACACACTATATGGTACTGGAGTATATGACTTGCAGGTGTTGTTATAACATTCCTAACGAATACCAACTATTGTCTCCCGGAGTAAATCAATGGTATTAAAATTATAAAACGTCAGCAGATTCCTTATCTGGAACTTGTGCCAGTGATAAGGACCATAGCCCTATTAGCTACTAACACTAGCTGGGGGCAATACATAGAATTCCAGATCAAAGTGCTTCTCTGACCAACGATGTGGAGAATTCCAAGTACCTGTTGGTACTATTGTACACAGTTGATCAGACTTGATTATAACCATATCTCACCCCATATAGCAGCCCTAATGAGGATACTTCTGAAGTTATGCAAGATTTCAAAAGAAATTTAGTGGGACTGAGTCAGAGCTGGACAGGAACTGGGTCAGATGATCCTGGGTGACCAGAGCTCAGTTGCTTATTGTATCCCTTTAGAGTTTAAAGGTCCTGTGTTTGAATCCCTATCTAACCCTTATGTAATTTTCCTCTCCTAATGCAGTTGTGCCTTTGACTGGGATGGTCACACTCTTTCAAATAGTGTGTTTATGCTTGGCGAGTGGATAGTCAAACCTGCAGTTTGTAAATACTGTTTTCGTGATCAAAGATTTTGAAATGAATATAAGAGGGAGTTGTGTAGTGGGACTGGCCCAGTGAAAGTTGGTGACCAATTTTGACTCTGCAACATCCTTCTTTACACAATTTGAGTCAATGTTATGGTCCATGGACCCAAGTCTCGAGGGGTGAGATTGACCCAAGGGCCAATCATTGTAGAAGTACATTTGTCTCTATCAGGTATAGCTCAGTCAGTTAGAACAGCTGTGTAAATTTCAGGGTCCAGGGTTTGAAGCTCAGTCTGGTTTCATTGAAACTCTCCTCTTCCAATAATCTGCATACCACCTCTGGTGTATTGTCGCAGAAGGACTATCAACATTTTCATTTATATCCATGCTTATCTTTCTTTAACAAACATTGTTGAATAATAAATTCCTAGAAAATCCATAAATATTATACACTTGAATCTTCCTCCACTTTGCACTGCGGGCCTGTTACTGTAGTATCAGCTATTTAACAATATTCATGAAACACAAGATATGGTAATTAGCTATTTTATATCATCCCAGGTACCATAAACCAGTGATTTATGGAAAATCAATGTGCCAATCTACATACAACAACCATGTGGTTCTCTGCACGTATTATACCTGTATCATATTGACAGAAATGAATCACATAATACAGCAATCATAATGATGGTACATACAGATGTTGTGTATTCTGATTTTCATTCTGTGTATTTTGAAATCGGTGACCTATTTTTCAATTCAGGGCACATCCATGCATTCAATAGACAACAGTGATATATAATATTACCGCGTATTTTCACTTCAGTGCACCTTAAAGGCTTATTGATATACATTATCTGAATATTCCAAGCATCTAATTGACAAAGATCTGAGTTTTTGATGCACCTAAATTACAATGTTGGAGTATATTATCCATCTTAGTGGCACCGATATGTGTCGGACACAACGGCATCACTAACATTATCACAATAAGTACTTTTGTACACATTGGGAAGATTAGCGGGAACTATGACCTAGAAACAATTGACCACAACTTTTTATCGATATTTCAGCATATGGTCAAAGTCCCAGGGAACTTTGAGTGTCTTTGTCTCTCGCCATATCAGTGCTATCAGCTTCAATAATTGACCTTTTCGTGATAATAAAATACAGGAACGGGAAACTGTGAATACAGTATTTTATATTGTAGTCACAATCACTAATATCCTAATAAGTCTGTCTTTGAGGAATTCACTGTTGTTGCAAAACTTTTTTTTACATTCCGTAACTATACAATTTCATACAGCTGAGAAATAGATTTTTATAATTTGAAACAGCAACACCTGTATTTATACAATTTGATACAGCGAAATTTGTAACTATACAATCTGATACAGCAAAACATATATCTCTATCACTTGCTACAGCAAAAAACCTGTATCTATATATAATTAAATAAAGCAAAACATGTATCTTAACTATCTGATAACCCTGAATCTATACCACCTGATACAGCAAAACCTGTATCAATATAATTTGATACAGCAAAACCTGTATCTATATAATTTGATAAAGCAAAACCTACAATTTGATACAGCAATACCTGTATCTATATATTTTGATACTGCAAAACTTATAATTTGATACAGCAATACCTGTATCTATATATTTTTATCGTATAAATTCTGGTAAAATTTCTTAGTTTCACTGATTTTAATGTGGACATTTGTACCGGATGACCTGACACTAGTGATGTACAGTAATGTGTTAGTTGTTTATCCTTTGTTTAGTGTATGGTATTGTGAGATCCTGCAGCCCCTTGGCGGTGGTTACTGGGAACATCAACCTGTCTGACAGGTGTCGCCTCCTTTGTGCGGGAGGTCACAGGTGCAACATGTTTACAACAAACAAATTATCTCACATACATGCATGTATGAGGACAGATACTTTTGAACATTATCTTACATGTCTGAGGACGTTAAACACACTCTGAAACATTAACTTACATGTCTGAGGACGTTAAACACTCTCTGAAACATTATCTTACATGTCTAAGGACGTTAAACACACTCTGAAACATTATCTTACATGTCGAAGGACGTTAAACACACTCTGAAACATTATCTTACATGTCGAAGGACGTTAAACACACTCTGAAACATTATCTTACATGTCTGAGGACGTTAAACAAACTCTGAAACATTATCTTACATGTCTGAGGACATTAAACAAACTCTGAAACATTAACTTACATGTCTGAGGACGTTAAACACACTGAAACATTATCTTACATGTCTGAGGACGTTAAACCCACTGAAACATTAACTTACATGTCTGAGGACGTTAAACACACTCTGAAACATTATCTTACATGTCTGAGGACATTAAACACACTCTGAAACATTAACTTACATGTCTGAGGACGTTAAACACACTCTGAAACATTATCTTAAGACATTTGTATGAGGATGTTTAACAGGCTGTAAAAACGCTATCTATAAATATATTGCATGAAGGTGTTTAATTTGATTAACACCTTCTTACATTATCCGACATGTATGAAGACATTTAATAAAACAAATATTATCTTACATACAAGTATGAGAACGTTTAACAAACTGTATCATTTTCTTGCATGTATGAGAACGTGTTACAGTCTATCATCTGTCACACATGCATGAGGCTATATGAAGACTGCAACATTATCTAACATACATATGTTAAACAGACTCTTTTACATTTATAACCACAGTGATGTTTAATTGTGACTTGTGATGCAGAAACGAACTTGCAAATAAACTGATCATTACATATACAGCACTATTTCTGAAACACTGAAAGGAATTATCTCAAAGATAATTTGTAGCAAGAACATAATTTGTACCAAACAAAAGTTGACTAATCTGTGAGTGTTTGCGTGGAGAACTTACCTGATATATACCTGTGACTGGCCAGCCCAGCCCTGCAGTAATAACACCTATATCTAGAGCCCTGTACCGGCTGTCCTAGTCATCACAATGTCATAGTGATTCAACATCCCCCTGATACCGTCAAAAATCAATGGAAATGGCCGTATATACCACACTATAACACTGTTTCCATGGCTATCGGAAAAGATAACATTCCTCATATACAGATCATGTTGTCAACAGTATCATGATTATTTGAATGTGAAACTGTAAATAGTGGTGGTTGATTTGACACGATGATGGTCAATCTATCAATAATCTACGAGTATTATCCTCGGGTCAGTAATTCACGGATTCACCATATCACTAGAACCAGCCGAGTCTATAATTAAGGTTTTAAAGTGTTTTGGGTCTGAATCACCACATGATGTACAGGTTCTGTCTATAAACAGTACAAAGGACGATTATTTAGCCTCGGCTGACCAGACTCCGACTGGACCAGAGCACACCAGTGACCACTATTGTAGTAGCTTTGACCACTAGATACGCGTTTTACCTATGTATACAGCAGGACTGATGAGTAGTGTATAGAGTAGATGTTACCTATGTCACCAGATTGTTCACCATACTCTCACACTTCCTTTAAAGTAAACATCATACTGTCCACATAAACGTCCATTAAATAAATCCCTTTGTCAATACTTCAGCAAGTCCAGAATAAGGTGACGATACAGATATTCTTATCACAGGAGAGAAGTATACACTACCAGTATTATTATTAGTGTTATGTGATGTTATATGATTGGACTAATGATCATTAATGTCCATGGGACGTTACAGCACTTTCATGCCAGTGTCCAGATGTATATGACAGTGTCCTCAGTTGTCTCGTTATACATATAACAGGAGCACAGTAACAATAGGGGCTGCCTTAACTTATCACCTCGCTGGTTCACTCCAGTTAAAGGCTACAGCTATAACCATTGTCTACTAATTGGATCCAAAACAACCCTTCCCCTTAAAGTCAAGGGATGGTCAATGGTCAGTCCCATGTGCCTCCTTAACAAGGATTTAAATAACTTGGTTCCCTGAGGTCAAGATCATCTGCATGTCCAGTTATAAGGTTTGTCTAGTAACATGGCCCGACTCATTACAAGATGTAGAGAGGATAATGACCATTGCTGGACAAATAGATCCCACAAAGGGACACCAGCTGACATTCCCTACAGCCTCGGGTCCCCTTTAATAGTCCAATGAAAACCCTTCGTTCCAATCAATACAATCTGTCATCACAATACTGCCAAATGGATTTATACTCCTCACAGGCATGTTCCCTACATTTTTTTCTATTAAATCGGTGATCGATTTTCCCGATAAGCGATCAATACCCTGCCAATCTTGTGAAATTAATTCAAACATTACAACAAGTATGACATCAACTGCTGTCAACAGAACAGCAAGCACCTGCTGTGACCCAATAGTAGCTCCACTCTGACAATATAGTACAGTATGTGGTTAGTACAGACAAGTAAATACAGTACTCCCATGTTAAGTCAATATTGGCTTACCAATCTACTGTGGCTGACATGGAAAGGGAATCAGGTGAAAACAAAACATAAATTTTGTAAGCTGTGAAAATACATTAAGATTTATGCCTTGTTAGCTACAAGGTTAGTCACTAACAGCTTTTAATCCTCTATGCATGAGATATGTTGCATGCAGAAGAATGTAAGCTCCTTACCACAAAAAAATCAATATATCCACATCCTTTACACTAATAAATGATGATTAAAAGCATTTAGCAAGCATGCAATTTATTATTGAAAATGCTAAGCATGTGGAAATAGAGGAGGGGAGGGGGATGGAGGAGGAGGAGGAGGAAGAGACTTATAGAAAGGATATAGGATAAGGAAGGGAAGAGGACATTGAACAGGAAAAAGAGGAAGAGTCTTATACATGTAAAACCTTCAAAGCTGTGAGAGGCTTCCAAATATTATATAAGACAAAGGTTTAAACAGCTAACTAAATTAATCAATATTCCACCTAGTAGAAAATGTAACCTGTCATGATAAGCCGGTCTTTATATCTGGACGCTGAGCCACAAAATAATGGTGGGAAAGTACAAAATAGTGTATTTTATTTAACTTGATTTCAATTAAATTGCATTAGAAAAAAATATATAAATAGGCAGATTTCCTATCTCTCAACCCTTCAATATTTGGCAAACCAGGACCTTTTTTGACAAAATTTGATAACCACAATAAAACTGTGCATCCCTGCTCTTCATTTACTCCATGAAAACTGTTTTAATCAAAAGGAGTTTGTAACCAGTGAACCTACATACCTACGTATCTTTCTTTCTTAGGCCTTACAATTGACAGCAAAATTAATTAATGGCTCACCCGTATGTTTAATAAAGGTTTTAAAATACGAAAAAAAATTAAAGCTAAAAAATCTGCTCAGCCCTTCTCAATTAACAAACTCTTTTGCAAGTGCCTTTGTGGTATCCCCCTATCATTGGGTGTAATGAACATGGTTCAACTATTCTTCCATTAATTGTCATGCCTGATTACCTCCCTTGACAAGCCTGATTAACTCCCTTGATGGGTCCGACTAACTCAGTGATGATTTGCTGAGTTGATGGAGGACACATTATCCATTGTTTAATGCAGCTTCATGGTCCAGAACACACAGCCTCCTCCATTGACTGACTGTGTCAGCAGTGTGTGATATATGGCTGTTCCCTAGCATTAAATGGTGTACACAATGTATGGGACTATCCAGACTTGGTATACAGTAAAGCAGGCCTTTCCTGCTATTACATGTGTCTGACAGCTGAAGAATGTTCTTATTTTAGTGAATGTATCACTACATGGCATAATCAATAATTTAATGGTAAATGTTTGTTATCCCTGGTCATTTTATACCATGGTCACTTCCTTCCGGGTGACTGTTCCAGATACGGAATGTCTTGTTCAATTGAGTCACACACAAAACAGGAAATAGAAGTAGAAAAGGGGATTTCCTGTCTTCTATGTGTTCCTTACTATAGGGAGAGATTTCATGTCTACAAAGGTCAAGTTACCGTGTAATTATTTACAAGATGATTTCCATTCATAGGAAGTTTGTAAAAATTAGCATAGCAGGTGCAAACACACATGATCTGTTCCACACACGATCAGGGATTTTCATATTTAATGGATTAATGTATTAGACAAATGAATATAACATACCTGGGCATAGTCCAGGGGCTTATCATCTTCAGGACATTTGAACACACCAGCACTGCAAATACAAAGAAACAAACATAAGTAAATACATGGCCCATCATAACACTACTACCATAAATACAGTGAAACCGATGTAAGGTAAATTACATGCAAATATCTTGATAGACCAATCCTGCAAATACAGGTAACCAATTCTATACCAGTAGCACAAATTATACATCATGTACCAGAAAACAAGTGTTAGCACACACTATAAGGCCAGTAGGGAGTTCAGCAAACATTAGGTGGCCATTAGGTGGCCTGATCCCTGATATAGTTGAGCATGTCACTCTATCATTTAACAGTTCTCTGAGTAACTGTGCCAATAAAACGGGTATAAACCTAATCTCATTTGAGTAGCTTTACACAAGAGGGATGTTAACTGGGTCTGTAGACAGTATAATGGATACAGAACACACAATACCTGGTGCAACACAATGTCTGGTAAACACTACCTTATATAATACATCATTAACAGTCTATATATACAGATAAGCCTAGGAAATCACACACAGATGCCAAATTACTTTGCCAGGCTGGGTAGATTTTAGACACAAAGCTAACAATTTATGTTGATTGATATCAGAATTAAGTTAATTTGGCATTTTAGTGATATTGCTCAAGCCTGAACAATGATTCTTCCCTATGAAACAAGGCCATCATTTTTCCTTTACTAAAACTATGAAGAACAAGTCATTTCTTCCTTGTTGCTGGTCAGAGATAGTAAAGTAACTGTCACCAATCAGGGACGTATATACTATCCCTGCACCAATGGATGATGATTTTTTTTAATTTGATCTTTTATGCAACCTTTGTGCGCAATTGATTTACTGATTTAAACCTGTAGTTTGGTCACAGGTTTTTCTGGCATTTCATTCCAATTATCAGATGCTTTATAAATAAACTCTGGACATAGCGAAATATTTTTTTTCTAAAATATTACTGTACTAGTTTAACTAATAGTCTACATAAAATAATTCATGACATTGATGATTGCTGAACAGCTTCATTATTCATTTTGTGAAATATCCTGTTTGTAACACATTTTTAAAAGAAATGCAATAGCGAATAATAAAACAATAAATACACCTCTATTAAAGAGTTTTAAGTTTTAACCACGAAATTCTTCAATTAAACTTCTCCAGTTACTATTGTAATCCCTAGCTGGAGGGGCCAGGTACCTGGATTAAGATGGGACACATCAACAGGTGCAAATATTTAAATTCTATGTTCACTTAGACATTGATTTAGATCTAATGTAATTACGATTCAATCCTCTGATGTATGAGGTGAATCAATCAGCAAATATTGCTTAAATATATTAACATTTTATTATAAAAATCAACATTCAACTAGTCATACCAACCATTATGTGTATCAGAGGATCAGGAATGTCCCTAGACCTATTTTCCTTTTGAAGCATTATAAACTGTTCAGTTTAAGTACCTAGATAGCCCCCATCAATTTAACCTACCCGAAGGGTTGATAGATACATTGTATATCAAAGCAGTCTAATTTAAAATCAAAGTGTTTATCTATTGTTGTAGATTTAAAGTAGTACATATCATCAAATAAATCTTTATCAAAATTTGGAATTAATAACTCTATAATATTTCATATACCCGACAGGTAACAACAGGTAAGACATTATCATCGGTCTCAGGTATTGCTACCCTCCTATTACCACTACAGACGTCCACATCAAACACACAAGGACTTGGGCATGTCACATCACCTTATAGGTAGGAATGTCTCAGTAGGTCTCACACCAATAACTGTTTAACTTCTAATGTAAACAGGAACCAATAAATCAATGGGTATCAGTATGCCTCTGTACCTCTAGTCACCTCTCCTTACTGTTTAAGTAAATTCAGACACAGATAGCATCTTATGAAGCAAGCAGAAAATTGTAAATTTCCCATCAGATGTCTATCTCACTGCGACCTTCACAGTATGGGATATGTACAGGGAAAGCTCTGTCTAGAGAGAACATCTTTCTCTCTATATGGGACAGTGACGTGGATAAAAACTGTCTAGAGTGACCACATGCATCACTGTATGAGACAGAGATCTGTGTAGAAACTGTCTAAAGAGACCATCTTCATCACTGCATGGGAGAGTGATGTCTGCAAAACCTGTCTAGAGAGATCATCTTCATGACTGTATCGGACAGTGATGAAAACAGAAACTGTCTAAAGAGACTATTTTTAAGACTGTTAGCAACAGTGATTTGTCTAAAACCCATCTAGAGAGACCACTTGCATCACTTTATGGAACATTGATGAACATGAAAACTGTCTAGAGAGACCATCTTTGCCACTGTTTGGGACAGTGTTGTGGTAATAAACTGTCTAGAGAGACCATCATATCACTGTACAAAACAGTGATGTGGACAAAATTTGTCTAGAGAGATCATGTTTACAACTCTATGGGAGTGTTTAGAGAAACAATCTTTACCACTGGGACAGTGTTGTATAAAGAAATGTTCTAAAGAGACCATCATATCACTGTTCGTGACAGTGATGTGGATAAAACTGTCTACAGAGAGCACTTTCTCCCTGTATGAGACAGTGATGTGTACAAATCACTTAAGACCACCATTGTCATTGTACCCTAGAGTGACTAAAGAGCAGTATCATTAATACATGAATATCAGCTGATCATTATTAAACCAAAACATATCAATCTTTGAAGTTCAATCAGACCAAGTCAAGCGAACTCTCGTATAACTTTCCCAAAATCAATGATCTCAGATGACAGAATTAATTATGCGGACCAAACTATGTCCCTCTGGTGTGTAAAACAATGGCTAGTCTTTCACCTACACTCTGTCACAAGCATGGCAGTGTCATTATCAGTGACAAAATTGGCGAAACAGATATCGGCCGCTGTATTAGATGACCAGGGTTCCTGTGATACAACACGAAGTATAATTCTAATACAACAGTATTTTTTGTGATACGACTCCCCAAGTCTGTCAATACAACAGCTGTTAATCTCTGGGCTACACAAACATACTTTTATCGTAACTGTACACCACAAAGACAAATCTGTACATACATTCAACAAAGGTGTTCTATAATTATGGATTGGTTATGGGAACATGAGTGACTGGGATGAAACTTGATCTTCAATCTGTTTAAAATCAGGATCAATCGTATGAGATCGCTAGACAAATAAATCTACATAAATCACATTTATACCTGGGCTTTAATTTTTAATAGACAGACTTTTATACTTTAACTTCAATCTTCTTTCAATCATGCTATTTGTATTGCCGTTAAGTTAAATAGAAAAATCTTTTTGACGAAGAAACACATTTAAATTGTCACTAAAACCGACCCCGTATCAAGTATTTCTCATCATATGACAATTAAACGTATATTCTTCTGTATCAGTAATAACTGTTTTTTGTCACATACAAATTTTACACTTACACCTGTTAAAGAATATAGTCAGTAGACTTGTTTTATTTCAATGTGCAATATGGTATAAAGTTTATATAGGCTTGATTATCAGATAGTTGTTAGGTTCTTGATTTGTGATGTAAATTTTCAGAAAAGAAAAAAAATATGTTTCAGAAAAGTAATCATGCACATACTGAATTCAAAAGACAACTCAGGTCAATGAAAAGTGTTGCATTGTCGATTTCTCAAAAGTCACAGAAAAGATGTGGTGTGTTATTATTACACTTACTTTTTCATCTGTTTCAGCATCTTAATACTGGCTCTAAGAATATCATCCTTTCTGAGAGCAGGCATCCCTCTGGGTAATAGTCACAAGCTTAGAAGTGGACCTCTACTCGCCCTGAAGTTATCCCTCACACCGCCTACAGGTATACCTCGCACTAAAACTGACCAGCTAACAGTAAAGACTGACCTGTCCAGTCACTAACGGTACACTGACAGTTAGCACCAAAGTTAAACAGATTATACTCCTCAGCTCAATACATTCCACTTCTTCCAATTACTTCCCTCAATTTTTCACCACTTAAGAGTTAACCTTGTGACAATCGTCTCTGAACTCAGCCGGCAGATGGTGGAGCCAGGTGACGGGCTTTCCCTAAAATCTGATTGGACGCATTTGAAATTAAGAAATTCCAGGCACACTTCCACCTGCTAAGTACCTCCAGTTTTTGACAAGAATGGTCGGAGGGTTCCCTTTAATTCTATGGGACCTATTATAATTTCTCGTTTATTTGAACATGGCCACGCGCCTTTGGAGGGATCCGACAATGTGGTACTCTCCCGAACTGGCCTGAGTTGTCTTTTGAAGTTTCGATAAAGGTGTGGACAAAGAAGATCTGTATTGATTACAGACTGAATGGTAGAGCGGGGTACAACCTTAGATCAAATAGTAAACTTGTGCAGTAGGGAGGCCGGCCTGTTTGTCCTCAGCCATCCGACCACAATAGGACGTAGCACTGACCAACAGGTGGACGGAGATTCTAGGCGGAGCCTCTGATAGCCTTTCAGAAAACAAAATCACTGGAACACGAGCCCCCATGATGGGGATCTGATAGGATTCACAAAACTACAGGGAGGAGATTAAGCGATATTTTTGTGCATTTTTAAACTTTTATGTAGAGCATATTGTTGATGATGAGAGAGGTGTGAAATTCATCATTCTCTCAGGTGTGAAATATATTCTGGGTCTACCAACTGTCATATTGTCCCATCATACACCCTGCACCTCAGAACGGCATAGTTCAAACCTATTCAGGCAGATGGTTAATGACCAAAATCAAAATAATCAATAATTTCAATTTGTTCAAATACCTGTAGCCACATTCCAGCAGATTTTATTGGGCTACATTTGTTTAATTGCTGGAGATAACTGTGAGAAAAAAACAAGGTTTTTATCAAAAGCAAATTGAAGTATCATTAAATGTTCAGTGCGGGTAAAACTGGTGTAGCATAAAACTGTTAGATTTTATGGATAATTGAAGCTCGCATGCCTGCTGGACTAACAGATAAATATTGTGCACCATATGACTTTCCTGGCAAGACTTAATTG